CGCCGGGTCGTAGCGCTCCACCAGGCAGCCATCCACGTCCTCCTCATCGTTCTGCCCGCCCACAGCGTACAGCTTGCCGTCCAGCACCGCCACGGCGAGCCTGCTCCGAGCCGCCGCCATCGGCGCCACCGCCTCCCACACATTCATCGCAGGGTCGTACCGCTCCACCGAGCTGAGGCGGCCGTCCTCGTCGTTCAAGCCGCCCGCAGCGTACAGCTTGCCGTCGAGCACCGCCACGGCGGCAAGAGTCCGCGCCTCTGCCATCGGCGCCACCGCCTCCCACGCGTTCGTCGCCGGATCGTACCGCTCGACCGAGCTGAGGATGCCGTCGTCGTCGCTGTACCCGCCCACAGCGTACAGCTTGCCGTCGAGCACCGCTACGGCGTGATAAAACCGCACCTCCGCCATCGGCGCCACCGCCTCCCACGCGTTCGCTGCCGGGTCGTACCGCTCCACCGAGCTGAGGGCGCCGTCGCCGAGGCCGCCCACAGCGTACAGATTGCCGTCCAGCACCGCGGCGTGGGTCTCGCGTGGTGTCACCATCGGCGCCGCCTCCTCCCACGCGTTCGTAGCCAAATCGTACCGCTCCACCAGGTTGGAAGTTGCGCCGTCAGCCTCACTCTCGCCGCCCACCGCGTAGAGCTTGCCATCGAGCACCGCCGTGCCGACAAAATTTCGTGCCGACGGCATCGGCGCGACAGCCTCCTCCTCCCACGCATTCGTGGACGGGTCGTACCGCTCCAGCGAGTTGAGACGCTCGCCATCGCTGTCTTCGCCGCCGATCACGACCAGGCGCGGCCTCTCGCGCTTCTTCAGCGTCTCCTTCCAGCCGCGGCGCCACGCGCGGCACGTCCCCTTGGCGGCGTGCTCCTTGGTCGGCAGCTGGGCGAGGATGTGCGGGGCGAGGTCCGGCGAGAGGAGGACCTCGGAGAGGACCCACTCGGGCTGCTCCACGAGCCGTGCGGCGTGCTCCTCCGCCACGCGCAGCGCGGCGTCGCTCGCGCCCGCCTGCCCCTCGATGATGGCGCACAGCTGCGCTGGCGAGAGGCCCGCGACGCGCGCGCCGATGCGGTGGGAGGCCATCCGGCGCGAGAGGGATACAAGTGCGCACTAGTTTATCTCGGCTTCTCCACATGACCCAAGCATCTGCACCGTGAGGTGTGATACATTGGCGCGTAAAGGGTCAGTCTGGAGTCGCGTGCCTCCACAACGGAAGAGCTACGCAGTACCTGACATCCCCTGGGGTCTTGCCACTAAAGGCGGAGGGTTGGGACTCAAACAGCTTGGACGAACTGCAGGTCCGGAGGAAACCTCAACGTCCTGCAGCCGGCCGCGGCGCCGTAAGCGGATCGCACCTCAGACCAAGAAGAGAGGTGGAGCTCACCACACGTAGAGCACCTACCGCCGCGTAGACGACGCGGGAGTCTCCCCCGCGAAAAGAGGGGGGGGAGAAGTAAGATGGGCCGACGACAGGACCCATTACGCGAGCAGAGGCTCGAGCTGACATCTCCGTGAGAGCCACGGTGGATCCCAAGCTAGCGTGAGAGCTCAGCATGCCACCAAGGAGAGGGTGGGTGGGAACCAAAGAGAGATGGCGCAGCCGGAGGGCTGGCGCCGTCAGAGAGGATGGAGCGGCCACAGAGGTGGCGCGGCATCAGGTCCCATGAGCAGGGAGAGAGCGCAGCGAGAGCGCCGCGCATGAGGAGCGAGGGCCAAGCGCGCTCGCGAAAGTAGGCGGCGAAAGCGCGCACCAGCTGAAGTGCAAGTTTGGTGTTCACAGCAGCGGAGGCTGAGTGAAGACCGCATGCGATGTGCGCGAGGGCACACGAGAGGGACTCAGGAGAGGTATCCGTGAGTATCCTACGATAAACTAGTGGCCTACCACGAGTTGGGGCCCCCACCCCAATCGTTATCGGCGGACTAGTTTATCTCGGCTTCTCCACATGACCCAAGCATCTGCACCGTGAGGTGTGATACATTGGCGCGTAAAGGGTCAGTCTGGAGTCGCGTGCCTCCACAACGGAAGAGCTACGCAGTACCTGACATCCCAACGCAGAGTGGAGGGAGCGGGTGCAGACGGACCTCGCATCCCAATGAAGCCAGAAGAGGGGCAGATGCGCTCGTGACGAAGAGCGACCCCAGCGTGAAGCCTACATTCACGCCACGCCGCCCGCGAGACGGCACACGAGACGAGGCTCGAGTAGACGAAGAGCGAGACGAGGCTCACACGAGGCGGCGGCAGAGACGGCCGCCCGCCACGCCGCCCACGAGGCGGCACACGAGACGAGGCTCGAGTAGACGAAGAGCGAGACGAGGCTCACACGAGGCGGCGGCAGAGAGCCGCCCGCCACGCCGCCCGCGAGACGGCACACGATACGAGGCTCGAGTAGATGAAGAACGAGACGAGGCTCGCACGAGGCGGCGGCAGAGACGGCCGCCCGCCACGCCGCCCACGAGGCGGCACACGAGACGAGGCTCGAGTAGACGAAGAGCGAGACGAGGCTCACACGAGGCGGCGGCAGAGACAGCCGCCCGCCACGCCACGCCGCCCAAGAGGCGGCACACGAGACGAGGCTCGAGTAGACGAAGAGCGAGACAAGGCTCACACGAGGCGGCGGCAGAGACGGCCGCCCGCCACGCCGCCCACGAGGCGGCACACGAGACGAGGCTCGAGTAGACGAAGAGCGAGACGAGGCTCACACGAGGCGGCGGCAGAGACGGCCGCCCGCCACGCCGCCCACGAGGCGGCACACGAGACGAGGCTCGAGTAGACGAAGAGCGAGACGAGGCTCACACGAGGCGGCGGCAGAGACGGCCGCCCGCCACGCCGCCCACGAGGCGGCACACGAGACGAGGCTCGAGTAGACGAAGAGCGAGACGAGGCTCACACGAGGCGGCGGCAGAGACAGCCGCCCGCCACGCCGCCCACGAGGCGGCACACGAGACGAGGCTCGAGTAGACGAAGAGCGAGACGAGGCTCACTCGAGGCGGCGGCAGAGACAGCCGCCCGCCACGCCACGCCGCCCAAGAGGCGGCACACGAGACGAGGCTCGAGTAGACGAAGAGCGAGACGAGGCTCACACGAGGCGGCGGCAGAGACAGCCGCCCGCCACGCCGCCCACGAGGCGGCACACGAGACGAGGCTCGAGTAGACGAAGAGCGAGGCGAGGCTCACTCGAGGCGGTGGCAGAGACAGCCGCCCGCCACGCCACGCCGCCCCACGAGGCGGCACACGAGACGAGGCTCGAGTAGACGAAGAGCGAGACGAGGCTCACTCGAGGCGGCGGCAGAGACAGCCGCCCGCCACGCCACGCCGCCCAAGAGGCGGCACACGAGGCGATGCTCGAGTAGACGAAGAGCGAGACGAGGCTCACTCGAGGCGGCGGCAGAGACAGCCGCCCGCCACGCCACGCCGCCCAAGAGGCGGCACACGAGACGAGGCTCGAGTAGACGAAGAGCGAGACGAGGCTCACACGAGGCGGCGGCAGAGACAGCCGCCCGCCACGCCGCCCAAGAGGCGGCACACGAGGCGAGGCTCGAGTAGACGAAGAGCGAGACGAGGCTCACTCGAGGCGGCGGCAGAGACGGCCGCCCGCCACGCCGCCCACGAGGCGGCACACGAGACGAGGCTCGAGTAGACGAAGAGCGAGACGAGGCTCACACGAGGCGGCGGCAGAGACGGCCGCCCGCCACGCCGCCCACGAGGCG